GCTTTCTTGTCAAGTATTCCCGTTGATAATTTAGAATTCAATCACGGTTGACTGGATTGCCATCGGTGGCGTAGGATAGTGACACAGAAAATCTAATTATGAGTTATAACACAGCTTTTGGGGAGAAGTCCAAAAGATGGTTCACGCACGGATCGAACAGCACTTTTGGCCAGCCCTCCTACTTAACTGTCACTGACACAGTAAAATCGAAGGCTGATCCTGTGATGCTGTTAAACTGTAAAATTCAAATGCTCTTATTTTTTGAGTAAAGATTCTTTGTCTTCATAAGCTAAAGTAGGAATGCCATTGAGAAATCAAGAATTTTTTTTTTTCCAGCGTTGAGGATGATGTTCTCTATGGAGTTTTCGTAAAGGGTTGGGATGTCGAGGAAACGATACCATCATCACAGAGCGCGCTTTGTGTGTACTCAATGGCCACGGTGGAAAAAATTTTCCTGGAAAACATCGAGCTGTGTTTCAAAGGTGAAACCAGTAAGGTGAGTAGTAATTTGGGAAGTTTTTTTTTTTTAATGTGACTTCGTTCATCATTCGGTCATTTCAGTCTGATCATTTAGTCTTTTATACTAACTTTTAAAATAAAATTCGGCAATGGTTTGCGAAATTACACGGCATTCAAGGTCAGCACTGCTTATTTCTTAGTCACAATTACATAGTTTTTCTCACAGGATACTCTTACTTGATTCCTTTTGGATGGTTTGGCAGAAAAAAATATGTGGTAACCCACGAGTAACGGTTTTTTTTTTTTTTGAAGCATAGGGGATTTGTAGTAATTTCTTGGGGAGCCACGTCGAAAATGCTTTCTATTTACACGTGTTCAGCTATATGCTTGTAACGGTTTATTCGAAATATAATGAATAAAGTTTGCAGCCTAGGGCCCAAGGGTCTGGTATTGCTGTGGGAGCATCCCAATAACATTACTAACTTGGGAAACTAACAGTGATAGCACAGGCGATTTTGGTATTCTTGCTGTGTAATAAATGGATTACTATTGAAATACTGTTGAATCAGGAAAAAAAAGTTGTCTTTTAGCTTTTGAAAAGGATTACCCGGTGCCATCGTTTTCGTCCAAAAACTTCACTGGACTTGCGTTTTATCAAAGATAAATTTTGATGTTGATTTCTGATGCGTTTTGTGCTGTGTAACAGCAGTATAAAACGCATATTGTCATGGGATTGTCTCTTTGTGTATGTGTATGTGTGTTCGCAGAACTTGTCCGCAACTTTCAACTCGGGAAACACAAAAGCTATGAAGCTGAAAATTTAGGGGAATGTTCCTCACCCACGTGTGATCTCAAAAATTTAAATTCAGCCTTCCCGTACCCGCGGGTAACACGTACGGCCCCGTAAAAGTTTTGGCAGGAAAAATTATTATCTCGGAGGCCACGGAATCTAGGAAGCTGATATTTTACGATAATGACCCCTGCTGTCGTAAGACCCCGCGAATACAAATTCAAAGTTCTTACGCTGTCGGATATCACCTACGGTCCCGTGGAAATTTTGGCGGGTAAATTATTGTCTTGGGTCTTGGGAAAAGCCAGGAAGCTGAAATTTTACGGTCATGCTCCCTGCCCACATGCAGTCCAACCTTTCCACACGCCTCAGCCTCGTAAAAGTTTCGGCGGGGAAAATTATTATCTCAGGAACCGCGGGAATTGGGAATCTGAAATTTTAGGGTGATTTCCTATACCAACATAGAACCTGCAAATTTGGATTCAGCCTTCACGCACTCCTGAGTACCACGTACGATTCCGTGAAAGTTTCGTTGGAAAAAATCATCTCGGGGACCAGAAGAGCTTGGAGGCTGAAAATTATAGGGAAATTCTATTTTACGGGTAAGTCCCAGAAAAAATTTTACGGGTAAGTCCCAGAAAATTTAAATTCAGCCTTCCCTTGCCCGTGGTAACATATGCGGCCCAGTGAAACTTTTGGTCGGTAAATTATTATCTCGGGAACCGCGGAATCTAAGAAGGTGAAATTTTGGGGGACTTTCCCTGCCCACGTGCAACCGTCCAAATTTGAATTCAGAGCAGTGAAAATCATTAGCGAGCAATTGTTCGATGGGCGGAATTGCACAAAACACATGATTGCATATTTGCACAAAACTGCCCTGGTGCGCGCTGCCATTTACTTACTTTTA